GAGCAAAACGGGATATAGCAAGAGATGAGACTGTGGGAATAAGAAGGGACCAGATCAGGAAGGGCCACCTTTGTGGCATCTTAGCTGGCATCCAAGAACAGGCCCGGGAGAAACCAACTATGGGCCAGTGAGTGCCAGCGGGGGGTGAGCTACGTGTCCACCCACGTCAGCCCAGGAGCCACGGGTCCTGCTGGGTCCCAGCCAACCAACCTGGGGCAGGGGCTCAGAGAGTAGGTGGGGTCTTCTTAGATTCTTTTGACCAGAGTCCTCAAGGCAACGTGTATTTTACATCGTATGTGTGCACATAAGTATAATGGAAACCCATCCTTTGCAGAATTACACTCATTGTCACTGTGAGGTACTCTGATTTTTCTCTGCATTATAATATATTCTATTTCATAAAAATGTTATAACCCAACAAATTGATTTAATGACTCTCAGTTTGACGGTGGCCTATGGGGGAATGGATGGAATTTCTCAATAAGAAAGAAGAGCAAGATCTATACAGGTTTTTTAAGCCGAAGTAGAGGAAATAAACGTGTTTGGGGTGATTACAGCCTGAAGGCTAAGAAGGAATTTTAAAAGGCCCGAGGCTGGATGCCCCAGCCCTGGGGTGGGGTTTCCCCCCAGGAAGAAGGGCTTCCTGTCTGACATGCATTAGGGATCCGGAACCGAGCATATGGGCCCAGGAGATTGGCTTGGCTTCGGAAGGTGCGTATCAGACGCTCAGAGAGAGGCAGAATTAGTTGAAAAATCATGTCTGCCTTGTTATAAGGACAGGGCTTGCGAGAAAGAGAAAGACGCTCAGGCCCAGTGAACAGAGCCAGCCTTCGCAGCAGCAGGAGAGCAGTGGGACCAATTTAGAGGCAGGCTGGAATCACACAAGCCCACCCAGGCTGGCAGGAAAGGGGAGGGAGGCTGGAACAGCTGGAGAGAGGGGGAGGATGCAACAGGCTTCACTCCTCTTCCCGTCCCTCAGTCCAGCCGGCACCTGTGCTCCCTCCCTGCGCCTCCCTGCCTGGAACATCGCAATTTGGCAGCAGGGTGGTGGCTTCAGACGTCACTTTCTGGGACGTGGTGGTGGGATTCTCTCCAGGGAATAGAATCTCTCCCCAGGGACAATCTGGCAGCCACGTGTGCCATATTTGACCCACTGATGAGGGTCTGTCCCAGTGGGGTTTCGGGTGCCCAAGAGGCGAACGCTGGACAGGCATCACGGATTGACTGAAGGGAGCGGAAACCACGAAGCCGTTCAAAGTTTTAGACACGTCTTCAAGTTTCCCCTTTCCTAGGTGCACCAAAAGCCGTGATCTACCCTAGGGAATCCTTTTGCCTGTTCCTCGGAGGCACACTGGACTGAAGCGGAGCTTTGCTGCCGACAGGGCCTCCAATCCCACGTGCGCACCGAGCACCGTGCAGGCTGACCGAGGCACACGCGTCGCGCGTGGACGCTGCTCTTTTCTAAAGCTATGCATAGGTATGATTGTGATTCCCAAAACACTGTGCAAAAGCACCCCTGAATTCCTGGCAGCTGGTCGCTATTGTGTTCTCCCCAGTCAACGGCCATTAAAGGCGTAGCTACTTGTGCGGAATCCTCAAAGTGTTTTCATGTCAAAAAGGCGTCCTCTTTCTCGGAGGCTGAGAGCCACGAGTGCACGATGTTCATGCTCAGATTGCAGGTGGCTGCAAAGCCCCGCCGGGCTCTAGGATCTGGCAGTTACTATTAATACATTCTGGACCTGGTTCTGCGGGAGTGGGCCTTCTGTTTGAGGCTCTTACATGTCCTAGAGCTTTCTGGAGGCTAAGACATGGGATCTAAGTGGAAAGGGCCAAGCGTTTCCCATGTGGAGTGCCCAGTTCCAGAAAGGACTTCTTGGTGTGACCAAAGGGGCTGGCCTTGACCTTGTGGGAGGCTCCCAGCTATAGCTTCGGACGAAGCAGCTTCAGTTACCTCCTCTGAGCCCCAGTTTTCCTCACAGTTGAATAGGGATAGTAACCTCCTCAGAGTTCCCTTCCCTCCTTACCTTAGGGAATCGCCTTGATTTTTCAGGACCTCCCATCCCTCCCCTCCCCTCCCCACACCTACATGGGTGGGTAAAGCTAGGCTAAGACTCCATACACTGTGATCTCTAGTTCATGCAGTGAGGCCAGCAGCCACCATGCAGCAGCCCCTATCCTCAGGGTCTGCTTAGGGGCCTCCTCCAGGAAGCCTTCCCAGATGTCTGCCCAGGGAGTCAAGCATCTATTTGATAGCAGCATACAGCTTTGTCTCTACCTGTTACTCGAATGCTTCATACACATGAGTCCTGCCTCCCCTGCCAGCAATTTGAAGACAGGGACCGTGGCTTACTGACACTTCTGACACTGCTTGCCTCGGTGTTCCTCATGGGGATACCATCTCAGTCATCTCTGGTACTCAGTGCAATGTTGGGCACATAGTAAGTGCTCAGGGGCTATTACTGTGGAATTTTGCCATTCACTGCTGAGTCTGGCACAATGCTGGGCACAAGATAGCTGCCAAATAAAAACTTGGCAATTGCATGAGTCAATAAATGCTAGTTCAATGAATAAATGGCTCCCCCTTAAAATACAATCCTGAGTCTCCCATCCTTTCTGCACTACTGTCCTAAGACTTTGAGCAACTCCCCTGCTTCATCTGTGGCAAGAGAAAGTTGAAGTAGATAATCTTTAAGGTCTCCTCCACTTCAAGAGGAAAAACTATGAATGGTTATAGGCCAACTTCTTCTGATTTATTTCAGTAAACATTTAATGAGCATCTACTATGTGCAGGGCAAGGTGAATAAGACATAATACACCATGCCAGTTGTCGATAAGCCTGTGGCTTATGGGGACAGGGGGAGACATGCATACAGCTTAGGGCAGACCGAAACTCGTGGTGAGCCAAGTCACGAGCAGTGTGCCAGGGGCTGGGAAGTCAGGCAGATTCTTCTTGCAGCAGGGGTGGCTGCGGAGGGCTGAGTGGGAGGCCCAGGCCTGTCCCCTGTCCCCATCCCTCTCCCTTGGCTCCCTTCTGCGTGACAAGCCTCAGGACATCAATCCTTTCTTTGATAAGACTACAAGACCACACTTGGGGAAATTAGCTTCAGAACAGCAGAGGCCTTGCCGAAAGGTTGTCCAAAGACAGAATTTAAGCACCACATGTCATTAGAATCTTACCGGCTCACTTCAAATTAAGGCAATGAAAACTTACAGTGTATTTCCATTTGGTACCAGCTGAGGGTCTAGGGTGCCAGTGCCCAGGGAAGAGCCTCATTCTGTACAGAGGGATGGGAGCCAGCAGGGCAGGGGAAGCCAGGCCAGAGACGCTGCAGTGGAAGCACTGTCCCTGGCCTTTGGCTGCTTAGAAACGTCTTAGTTGCGGAGAGCAGAGGCCATGCAGCAACCTGGTATGAATTATTTATCTGAGAACCTATACTGCCAAAAACGATTATATTTCTTTCTCTTTGCTGCCCACCACCTTGGGACTGGCTAGTAGGTTCATTCATGCCACCTATTGTTATTAAGTAGTTCTGTATTCATGGCTCACATTTACTGAGCACTTACTATGTGCCAGGCACTGTTAGCACTTTATAGGTATTAACTCTTTTAGGCTTCAAAACAGCCCTGTGGTTGTAAGGATGACTACCTGCATTTTATGGATGGAGAATTCAGGCCCTGAGAGATTAAAGGACTTGTCCGAAGTCACAAACCCAGGCAGAGTGGCTCCAGTTCTGTGTTCTTAGCTACCATGTTACCCATATCTCAGTGTGTGGCAGGCAGTGGATACAGTGGTGAATTGCAGATGCCTCCACAGAGCTGATGGTCAAGTTGGGGAGGCAGAAAACAAACAGTTATTGAAATCCGAGTTCAGCGACAACTGTGGTAAGCACTACCAAAGGAACAGCACAGGGTGCCCAAATTAATAAAAAGGGGCTCTTCGGTCTTAGCTGGGTGGAGGATGGCTGCTGTAGCTGGAGAGCCTTCCCAGGGGAAGCAACCTTCTAGTCGAAGCCTGGGGCATGAGGAGGAGTTGCCAGGGGAAGGGATGGAGGGAGGGACCCGCGCAGCGGGAATGGCGCGCACAAAGGCCCGCAGTCAGCAAGGCGGCTGGCTCCCTGGAGCGAACTTGGGCCCCAGTGGCCCGAGTGTAGTACGAGACAGAGGGGGCCGAAGACAGGTGGAGGAGGTGGGCAGAGCTGGATCCCGTGGGCCCCGGGCGATGGCGAGGACTTGAAATTTTATGTAAGAGTCATGGGAAGCCCCTGAGGCATTCTGAACAGGGATTGGACTGACAGATCTCGGGTTTGAGAAGCCTGCTCTGGCCGCCATGTGCAGAAGGAATGCAGTGGGCAGGAAGAGAGGCCCGAGACCCAGTAGGAGGCCAAGGAAGTGTCAGGTGAGAGACGGTGCTCAGCGGACCAGGTGACGACAGTGGGTGGAGAGAAGTAGATGGATTCACCTTGTACTGAGGAGGGGGGCTGACAAGCTAGTGCAGGGACCAGGACTCTGAGACGAGACTAAGGAGAAAGGTCCTTAGTGGTCCCTGCCACAAGGCTGTCCATGTCCCAATCCCTGCAACCTGTGACTATGTCACCTTACATGGCAAGAGGGACTTCGCAGATGTGATTAAGGACCTTGAGATGGGGAGGGTATCAGGGACTATCCAGACAGGCCTGATATAGCCACGTGAGTCCTCAAAAGTAGAAGACGACCAAAGAAGGCAGGTCGGAGAGAGTCACCGTGAGAAGTCCTGCTCCACCACATTCTTTACAAAGAGATTAGGCAACTATTCCCACCACGTGTCAGCCTTTGGTTTCTTTACTGGTGTGTCTCTAGCCCCGAGAACAGAGCCTGTATTTTTTTTTTTTTTTTTTTTGAGACAGAGTCTCACTCTGTTGCCTGGGCTAGAGTGCCGTGGCATCAGCCTAGCTCACAGCAACCTCAAACTCCTGGACTCAAGCGATCCTTCTGCCTCAGGACTACAGGCACGCGTCACCATGCCCGGCTAATTTTTTTCCATATATTTTTAGTTGTCCAGCTAATTTCTTTCTATTTTTTTAGTAGAGACAGGATCTCGCTCTAGCTCAGGCTGGTCTCGAACTCCTGAGCTCAAATGATCTGCCTGCCTCGGCCTCCCAGAGTGCTAGGATTATAGGCGTGAGCCACCGCACCGGGCCCAGAGCCTGTATTAAGTAGGTGCTCAATAAACATGTGTTTGCTTGAATGGAGTGGAATGGAGAACTGGAGTTCAACGCAGATAGAGAGATATTTAGGGAAGAAGAAAGGTATCGAAGGAGAAAGAACAGTCAAGAGAAGCACGATACCAAGAATCCGGTCTCACGGGACTGGGTGGTGGCAAGGCGGAGCAAGTTACCTGTCCATCCGGCCAGGCAGCAGCAGTGGCCTGTGACGGGATCACAGCCATCCGCGTGGCTGCAGTCACAGCGTTCGGTGCAGTTCGGCCCGAATGTGCCATCCTGTGGAAAGGCGGGGAGAGAGGAAAAAAAAAATCAGACCTAGACTCCCAGAAGTTCACACATTTCTCTCGGATCTTGATGACAAAACCACGCCACAACCACACAGGGATGCAGAGACTGGGACTGGGGCACAGTGGGGATATTTTTGTAAGTGGAAAATCAATGCAGCCACGAAGCCACGCCGAAGAATTATTTGGCTGCATTAACAGGAGCAAGAGGTTTGGACAGAGGGAGGAGATGGTCCTGCCCTACTTTTCAAGGGTCAAGCTCAGAGGCCTGTAATGATCATTAATAGAAGTTGTCAATGAAAATGTACTTTGCTAATCATAACACATTGATCACACGTGAGGAATAACTATGATTTATTCTGTTACTGGGGAAGGAGGCAGTAACCAACTACCTCCTCGTGCGTCATTAGGTATCAAGAGCCTCATATCTCATTTTTCTCCATCCTCACAACTATCCAGTAAGATAGTTCCATTACATTCCCACTTTAAAGATGAGAAACAGGGCTAAAGAGGTAACATGCTCAAGGTGACATAGGCGGGATGTGGCAAAGTCAGGATTTGAACCCAGGACCGCAGGACTCCAAAGCCCCTGCTCATTTAACAACATCAGATCAGTCCATTCCACTGATTTTTATCTTCGACGTACAAGACTCCATATTAGGTCTGGGTGGCTATTGCCGAGTCGTGCTTTAGTGCCCCCACACCCTGATCGTGAGAGCACAGGCTGTTGGAACCAGAAGGAAGCTCAGACTACATCTATCAGGCAGTGGCTGCTCTGATGCGCTAGCAAGGGCTGTCCTGCAGCGCGGTGCTGTGAGGGATTCTGAAGCTGCACCTGAGCTCGGGTGAGAGTGCCAGAGTCAGCGACGTTGACCAAGAGCAGCGAGGGGCAAGTGGAGCCACACCACCACCCTGCCGAGTATCTGCCAGGCTATCGATGGGGGATGCGGCTTAAAGCAGAAAAATGGCCGCAGAAAGGGTAGGACTAGGACTGCTCTGAATCCGGGCGTCCCACCGCCTAGCCCGGTGCTCTTCCCTGTGCCCTCCCGTGGACAGAATAACCCCAGGGAAGGGGCACTGGGGGATGCTGGGCCCACCCTGTCCCTCCGCTTCTGCTGCTGCCTCCTCCCTCCCTTCCCTGGCACTCACCGGGCAGGGCAGTTCGCAGGTGTCTCCCAGCCAGCCGGGGGTGCAGGAGCAGGAGCCGTCCGTGGGGCTGCAGGCCGCCCCGTTGGCGCAGGTGCAGCTCTCGTTGCAGTTCAGGCCCCACGTCCCGCTTGGGCAGGGCAGAGTGCAGTCCAGGCCCTGCCACCCTGAGGGGTGAGAAGGGGGCTGTCACCTCTCCATCCAGGCCCAGCACAGCTTTCTTCCCCGCGCCCCCCAGCACTGGACACAGCAGCCCACCCAAACCACCGCTTCCCTGACGGCTGGGTTAGAACACACATTCCACACGCAGTTGGCTCAGAAATACAGCAGGGCCGTTAGGAGAGCTGGGGCTAGACGCCAGGTCTGCTGCCTCCTAGTTCTTACTTTTTTACTGCAGGCAGATGATCTCACCTGGGACAGGAACCAGCTCAGGTGGGGGGTGCTGTCTGCCCATCCTGGGGTGGAGTGAGGCAGCTTATCTCAGGGCCCTGTGTTTGGGGACAGGCTGGTTCTCCATTCTTAGGCTGGTTACTGGCCTCTTTGCCCACGGATCCATTCCTCCCCTTCCCCTGCTCAGTTCTGTCACAGGGCGCTGACCTCCCAGGCTCCCCCTCAGCCAGGTGCCAGCTGGGCTGCCAATGGGAGACCTGGCCCACAGGCTGGGGGGCGGGAGCAGGAGAGGGGCCGTGTGTGTCCTCTCCCTCTTTCTCTGCCTTGGGCCTCTGTGGTGGTACAGCACTGCGCCCCCATGTCCCAGCTCCCACGAGATGGCCCGCACTTCCAGGTTCTGGGAACTCCACCTCCTCTTTTTGCCCCTCCAACCCCAGGAGTGGTAGCAGCCTCTCCCACAGGTGCTCGTGTCTGGGTTGCTCACCGTCCCTGTGTGCTCTTCAAACACCACTGTCGCGAATCCCCTTATGTGCCCACTGTGGAAGTTCGTGGCATGGGTTCCCTTGCCCGGAACCTGACCACTAGAGGCTCCCCGACCCTGCCCGTGGGTGGGGTGGCGGAGACCCCTCAGCTGGCAGCCCGCCCATGTGGGCAGTGTGCACGCATATGGGGGATGGGCTTGGGAGAGAGGGCACGTTACCTTCCTTGCAGGAGCAGGACCCATCCACTGGGGAGCAAGTGCCACCGTTGTCACAGCTACAGACGGACGAGCAGTTGGGGCCGTAGGTTCCTGCTGCACAGGGAACTGCACAGACCTCTCCCTGGAACAGCAGGGGAGAATTTGGGATCAGAGGTTGCCCGGGGCTGGCTGGCTGTGGTAGGCGGGATAATGGTCCCTGCCACAAGGCTGTCCATGTCCCAATCCCTGCAACCTGTGAATATGTCACCTTACATGGCAAGAGGGACTTCGCAGATGTGATTAAGGACCTTGAGATGGGGAGGGTATCAGGGACTATCCAGACAGGCCTGATATAGCCACGTGAGTCCTCAAAAGTAGAAGACCAAAGAAGGCAGGTCGGAGAGAGTCGCCGTGAGAAGTCCTCCTCCTGCCTGTGTTGCCCGTGGAGACGGGGAAGGGGCCCGGGGCCAAGGAAGGCAGTGGTCTCGAGAAGCCGGGATCGACCCCTTTACAGCCATCGAGAAAACGGGACCTCGGTCCTGCAATCACAGGAACTGAATTCTGCCAACAACAAGAATGAGCAGGAAACAGATTCTTCCCTAAAGCTTCCAGAAGGGAACACAGCCCCCGACATCTGGATTTCAGTCTGAGGAAACCCACACCAGACTTCTGACCCACAGAGCTGTAAGATAGGAAGTTTGTGTTGTTTTAAGCCACTAAGCTTGTGGTAGTTTTTTACAGCAGCAACAGAAAACTAATAGTCACCTTTGCTGGTCGGTGGAGGAGTGCGGCCTCCAGACCACAGCGCCAGGAAACTTGACCCCACAGTCAGTATTAGATCCAAGCAGCACTGACCTTAACCCTTTGCCTCCCAATCTTATTTAATTCTCACCAACTCCGTGACACAAATAGTAACACCCTATCCTCATCTGCCTGAACCTCAGTTAAATGGGATGCTTATCGAGTGCCTTCTCAGTACCGTGAGACAGCATCTCATTTAATTCTCACAACACTCTCAGGAGACGGAAACTAGTGTCTCAGCACTTAACATATAAGAGAAGGTAGGTAACTCCGCCAAGGCGACAGAGCTAAAGGTGGTGGCTCTCTGCTGGAACCCAGGCCGCTGCCTCACCATTACGTTACCTGGAGGCATACACTGGCTTCCCGGAGAGCGTTCTCTGAGGCGAGATGAGTAAGCTCTTGAGAGTAACCCCATGGCGGGGCGGGGAGAGGACTGGGCCGAGAAGTTGAACTGGGTATAGTTGCAGCTGCAGCAGCCGCTGCCGACCTGCCAGGAAGCCCCAGAGCCAGACAACCCTTAGCGTCGTCCCAGCGGGGGAGGGAGGGAGCGCTTTTATCCCCATCAATCACTGGCTGTCCAATGTCTGGGGAGGGGGCGTGACTCCCCAGGTGAGTCGGCTATGTTTGACTGAGAGCCATTTCTGTAGTGGGGCTCAGCTGGGAGCCACTAACTTTCCGGCAGCTGGGGAGGAAAAGTGCGTCAGTCCCGCAGGGCGAATCTGGGTGGCCCACTACAGTGTCCACTATGCCGGGAGGCAGGGGTGCTATTGGCACCAGGAAGGAGGTCAGAGCTGGGGCAAGTCAGGGTGGGGGGACCAGAATGCGGGCTCCAGAGGCCTTGAGGGGTGGGCCCATTTGGTTAATCAGAGAAGAGCGGGGTAAAGGCCATCCAGGTGGGAAGGGGTGTGGACAAGAGTGCCGAGGAGCGTGAAAGCTGGGAATGTTCCAGCAGCGGCTGAAGGGAGGAGCTTGTGTAGGGAGGTTCGTAGGTATTTAAAAGAGGCTGGGAGCCTAGAATGCATAAGGGAGTTTGGGCTTACTTCCCTGGGTCCCCAGGGCATGCTCAGGAACCCCCGACGGGGCTGTCTGCCCTGGAGAACGTGGTCACTGAATGTTGAATTCCCACTGTTGCCCCTAGGGGGTGTGTGCAGCCAGCTTCTCAGGCCCCGTGCCTACGCTTACGTGGGAATCGGACACAGGGAAGAGCTTGGGCCAGAAGACCAGAGCTTGTCTGGGCCGCACTGGCTGGGTGACACTGGGTAGGCACTGCCCCTCTGGGCCTCAGTTCCAGCATCTGCAAAATGACAGCTCGGAGTAAAGGAGCTCACCTCCCAACTCTAAGCGTCCAGGCATCTGGCTTCACCCCCATGTAGGCCACAGAGAGACCCTAGGCTGTGGGCCTTTGGCCAAGGAGAGGCCCCTCTCCAGCCCTCTGTGTTTCTGTCCCGCCTGCCCAGGTCGGGCAGGAGCACTGAGGGAGTGCAGAGTCCCCGCCCAGAAGGCCCGTGGTTCCTCTCTCTCCCCTGCCAGTCCCCAGCAGGCCTGACCGGTTGGAGTCTGTCAGCTTTCCATTACCCAGAAAACTCTAATTTCTCCCAGATTGTAAATAGACCATAGGCACATATTTGAGCTCTGGGGGCTTTGGCCTGGGGGCAAACCTCAGGCACAGCGTATGTCTTTCTCTGCAGGAGTTTGCTTTCAGAGAGAAGGGGTTTTCTCCCAGCGTCCTGTGAGTGTCCCCAGGCAGGGGGCCTCCACTAGCCCATGGGCCCAGCTGTGGGCCTGCCATTGTGGCCCAGAGAGGACTCCTCACCCTGGCCCCGGCTGGAAATACCTACTCCCCGAGTGCTGCGACAGGACACTGTTCTCCCACAGAAGCCCTATCTGCCGGGAAGCTCTCGAGCTAGGAGTGGCCTTGGTCTTCACAGTAGTCCTGGGAAGCCACCAGGCTGAGAGCGTTTTCTGCTTCCCAGAGAAGAAAATGGAGAATCAGAGAGGGGCAATGGCTTATCCAGGGCCCCACAGCGAAGGAGAAAGAACCAGATCTTCCCTCCTGAGAGCAGCAGAGCTGAGGGAGCAGAGGGTGGACCCTGGCACCATCCTGCTGCCACCACTCATTCACTATGTGACCTTGGACAATTTACCAAACCCCTGAGCCTCAGTTCCTGTATCTGTGAAATGGAATAATGATGTTCCTACCCCATAGGATTGTTAAGAGGATTAGATATTATTTGTGAAGCAGTAGGAACAGTGCCTGGGGGGTAGCAGGCACTGCAAAAGCTGTTGCTAGTGCAAAGATGCAGCATCTCTTAGGAGGAGTTGAAGCGGAAGAAAGCTCTGGAGTAGAGATCCACTCCTCACTCGACGAATGCCGGCCCTGCTGGAGAGGAGGCGGGTGCTGATAGGGGGGTGGGGATCCCGACCCCCTCAGTTACCTTCCTGTCACCTCCCCACAGCTGACACAGGCTGGGACTTCCATCACCACACACCAGGGGCATGGTCTTGGGGACAGAATGACCACTACCTGAAGGCCACCATGTGCCAGGCGCTGTTCCAAACACATTCCTTTTGTTAGCTCCTAATAGCAAAAAGTCCAAATGGGGGGAACTGGACAGTTTCTGAAGTGCACAGCTCTGCCCTGAAGGAATGTAATCTGGGTACAGCTAACTTTGAGCACTCTCCCCATCTACCCCACTGTCCTGACTGACCCCCAGGGCACAGTCTGAATGCATACTTGTGTTTTTTTTTTTTTTACAGAAGGAGTCTTGCTCTATTGTCCAGGCTGGAGCATAGTGGCATGATCATAGCTCAATGAAGCCTTGAACTCCTGAACTCCTGGGCGCAAGTGATCCTCCTGCGTCAGTCTCCTGAGTAGCAGGGACTACAGGTGCACGCCACCACACCAGGCTAATTTTTTTAGAGATAGGATCTCACTATGTTTCCCAGGCTGATCTCAAACTCCTGGCCTCAGGTGATCCTCCTACCTCAGCCTCCCAAGTCGCTGGGACTAGAGGCATGAGCCATCATGCCCAGCTTCAAATACTTACTTGGTTCTAACACCTCAACAAGCACAGGTACTAACAGTTAAAGTTTTTGTTCAAATTCCATAACTTCTAGCCTCTGATCTGAGGGTTAGGCATAGTCTATAGTTGACAAGCAGGTCTCTGGTGATAGACATTCACAGAAGCCAATAATCGGCCTATCTCCTGTTAGACTATTAGCCCTGCCCTCCTCAGGGCGTCCCCTGGTCCAAGGTCTGGTGATGTCTCCTCAATTTGGGGTGCCACTAACAGGCCTTAATTGTGATGGTCTGTGTGTACAGTGAGTCTATGTGGGTCAGTATTTATGTGTACACGTGCTTAGGCAGTCAGAGCACACACCTGTATGTTTCTGTGTGTGTTTGTCTCTTGTGTATCTGTTTATCCATCCGTGTAGATTTGGGTACAAATTGGTGACTCCTTCCTCATCGTTCCTCCTGAGTGTCTTCCCTGACACCCCTGCCCTGCCCTGGCAGGAACTAGAGCACACACAGCAACCACCACCCTAGCGTGCTGGGAGTCGTGCGTGGCTCACGTGTCCACCTCTGCCCTGGGGCCGTGAGCTCGGGGAGTTGGATCTGCTTTTGTTCATGTCTAGATGGGCAGGGCCGGGGACCCTGCTGGTACATAATGGGCCCTGAACAAATGTTTAACAGAAATGAGATGTCTGTGTGCGCTTGCTGGCTTCCACTGCAGACAGAACCGGAAGGACGGGGCACTCTCCACATGCTTGCTCACACGCCAGGCGATTCAACAGCTTGCTGAGGGGCCAACTCAGCCAGCCGCGTTGTAGGCTCCAGGGGCGCAGAGGAGCCGGGGCCCCGTCTCTGCTCCCGGGCAACCCCCAGGCGGTGCCCACACAGGCACGTTCACGGCTGTACCTAGATGTGCTTATCTGTCCGCTTATTTACTGTCTGCCGCCCCCAGTGAGACTAGAAGCTTGGTGAGAACAGGGACCTTATCTGTCTGGGTTGCCCAGTGTCCCTAGCTCAGGACCCAGACACAGCAGAGTACAGGAATTCTGTAAATAATGTTGAAGAAATGAGTGAAGGGCCTTGGTAGGCTGGGATCATACTCAGGAAGCAGAATATTGTGTGGTTTAAGGAAGAGGCCCCTTCTAACCACGCTGCCTCTGAGCCCCGGGGGTGCCTGTGGGAGAGCCAGGGCTGCGGGCTCTTACCTTGCCCCACCCCCTCCTGCCAACTCTGCCCACCAGGCTGGAGGGAGAAGCACAGCCAGAAAACCACCCTGTTGGCTCTAGAACATCCTCTCAGGGAGACAGGACCCGCCAGGCCGAACAGGA